TTCTCAAAGCCTTCAGCAGATAACCGGGGTATCTTGGTCATATGTTAGGTCAATCTAATATGGTCAGTGCCATATCAACTCAACCCTGTCCTAATTGTCCTTTTTTTGTCTTTCTCAGCTTACCTATAAATATAAAGAATCAGGCACATAAAATCCATCCTATTTTTCTTTTTCTCTCATTCTTACTTTTTCACTTCATTTCTGACTTGATCTTACTGACTTGAATGTCATAGTACAAATGTAAGGAACACTCCCTACCTTCGCCTCTAATCGTCTTTTCCTTCTGCACTTATAAGAACACCTTCAAGTTAAAGCTTAGCACCAACACTAATAGTCTCCATAAATAATAAAATTCAACTTAAATAAGTTTTCTTGGATTAATGCAAATATAGGCTTTTAAAGGCATTTTACCAAACACCTCAAATGCACATTAAAAAATACCCAAACCATTGAAAAAAGTAACATATATAGCATTACAAAGAATCATATTTTGAGTTCCTTTATTAAGATTAAAAAATAAAACATAAATAGTATTAAAAAAATATTGAATAAGAAATTTTAAAGGGTTAAGACTTTCATGAAAGGATAAAAAAAAATTTACAAATTTCTATGTTTTGTACATTAGATAAAATAATAGTAATTGCATCACCCAAGGTTTGAAAACAACTGTAGAATACGTCATAACCAACCAAATCATTTCATGGTGCTTATTCATATTGAAGTCACATAAAATTAGATATCTTATCTAATTCATAACTCGTAATTAAATGTTAACTCTTGAGAATTTTACACTTGGTGACTTGAATCATGAAATTAAACTAAAAAAATTTTTAATTTACCCTTTCAATCAACAAAGTAACATAAAACTATTAAGTAAAAAAAAAGTCCTAACTTTGGGAAACCCCTAACTTTCTTTACCTTTTAAAACTTGGAGATGTCTGTTATCACTAACATGAAGAGAAGCAAATGAGTTCTTATCCCAAAGGTACGAGAACACCATTACCGCTGCTTGTGATACATCCACCAACAGATATCCCAATGTCATGGCCAGTGAATAAATACAGAAGAAAAAAGAGTTTCAATTTAAGGAACCAAAAAGGTATCAAAAATTAAAGAAAATAGAGACTAAAAATACAATGGCTAGTGCGAGATAAGCAAAAGTAATGGCACGATGAGGAGGCAGAAAGCGAAAAAGAAAAGAAAGTGAAGGTTTAAGGCTACTACGATCACAAGAAAAGAAAGTATAAACAAAGAAAAAAATAAAAAAAAACAAGGTCATTTTATAGCTCTCAGCCCTGTCCAAAACTTATACTAAAAGACATGGTTAGAAATACATACCGAAACAAGTGTAGAAAAAACTTTGAAGGCAAGAAAGCTATTAAGATAAAAAATTTTAGGTCAGATCAAGAGCAAAGAAGATGAAAGATGAAAAGCTAAAGCTCTACCAACCTCTTTATATAGACGCGCTGCAAGCCAGAAGGATGGCACGATCTGCGTCATGTGTCAAACCATAGGCAGATAAATGTCTTTTTATCTTTCTACTTTAAATCTTTTCGTTCAAATCATCTCTTCTTCATTTAATGCCATAATTACATGGAGATATGAAGATTTTGTAATAAAATTCTTACCATAATTACATGGAGATATGTGTTAAGTGCCATAATTAGTATAAAGTTTATAAAGACAATAAGTCGTGATCCCAACTTTATTTAAAACTTTTTTTTGGTAAATATATTCTTTTACTTCTTATACATAAAGAATGCATTATGACCAAAATTTAATAATTTTGATTTGTAAAAAACTCTCAAAACTATAAAAAAATGAACCATATATGAAAATAATTTTCTACTTATGACTGATTGTATATTTGTATTATTTTAATGAAAAAAAAATTAGATCAATAAAAGATAATTAAGCAATAGATCAAGTTTTGGATAATGTCATGTTGAAAAACAATAAAGGAACAATAAATGCAATTCAAGCTAATTAAACCAAGAAAAAAAATAGAAACTAAGCTAGAAAAAAAAAGCAGGATATATAATTTTAATATTAATCAAGATAAAATTGAACAGAAACGGTAATTAATTTGATAATTTTGATCCTTTTTATAATCAAAATGAAAATATTTATATTATTAAATACGATCATGATCAATGTGATTATGATTTCAATTCTCTCATAGTGGAGAGTGGTTATTAGTAACTATTTTTGAAATCACAAAGGTGAACTATACATATCATAGGATATGGATTTTTGATATGCTGAATTTGATTTCATTTCTTGCATCTTGTGAGTTCATTCATACTAAAAGAATCGTTCATTTTTTAGCACACCATATAACTAAGATTGAGTGTGAGATTAGCAACCAACATATATGGTTAAGATCATTTCCAAGCCTGATTTTTGAACTCATGCTTTTTGATATTAATGAAAGCGACTTTTTTTTTCCATAAAAATTGAGTGAATAAAAGAGAAATACTACCAACTATCAAATGTGATAAAAAGAAAGCATCTATGAACACAAAAGCAAAAAAAATTAACTTGGTGATCAACATTCAGTATTGTTGTTAGTATAATGAAACTGTAAGAATAATGTAACTTGACGAAAAAACAATAATAACTATAATCAAAATAAAAATAATTCATTGTCATAAAAAATTAATATAATTGTATGACAAAAATTTACCTAATCACAAATTGATACATTTGGAGAGTAGTTTTCTAACATTATTAACTTACATGATTCTTTATTTATAATAAGAATTATAAAGCTTTTTATAAATTAATTGAGAGTAATTTATGCAGAGTAATTATAATGGGTTATTAGAGATACATTTTGAAATAATAAATTATGTTGGTAAATATGTGTGATTATAATTAATACTTATATAGAAAAATATGTTTGTGCAATTAATTAGGCCCTTTTTATTTTAGGTTTGAATTCTTAGCATTATATGACTTATATATTCATTACATAAATTAATTTTTAATTAGATATTAAAATTACAGATATCAAATTATCAATGCCTTTATAATATATTTTTTATTTATAATGTTCATGTTTAATGTTTAGAATTAAGAACTGAATTTATTTGAAGTGATTTAAGATAATTAAATTGTAATGTACTTATAAAAGGCAATAATATTTTATATTTATAAGAAAATAAATATACCTAATTTAGTCAAAATAAAATATCTTTTAAATTAATACAATTTATATGAAAACAAATCAAAATAATTAATGCATGACATATGGTGACTGTTTAAGACTATCCATATGTCAAAAATAGATCATCTACATTGTATTTTTTTTTCCTTTTTATTAAAAGTTTTGACTTTTATATATTTATATAAGATGAGTTTTTTTTTAAAAAAAATTGATCTAATTAAAAAAAAGCAAAAAGAAAAGACGAAAAACAAAAAAAAAAAATTAAAAAGGGAAGAAAATTGAGTTGTTACACGACAGTAATAATGATATGTTATTCTTACAAAATTTTATCATCGATTTTACAAAAACAAAAACTAAGAAAAAAAGCAAAATAAAAAGCTAAAACTAAAAAAGAAATGGTTGAGAAAAAAAGAAACATATAATCCAGATGACATGTCCACATCTCTGTTAATATTTTTTTCTTACAAAATTATCTAATTACAAAAAAAAGAACAAACATATTTTTATTTAATAATATCAAATGAATCTCACACAAAAACTAAAAATATATAAAATATTTATTAAATATAAAAAAGAAAAAAAAGTTAAAGTAAAATAAAAACAAAAGAAAGAGAAAAAAAGTGAAAAAAAAAATAAATGGCTGACATGTGGCATCCATTTTAAGTGTTCATAATAATTTATTAAATATTAAAAAGATAAAAAAACAAATAAAAGAAAAAAAAAAACACATAAGGGTGACATGTGACACTTTTAAAATGTAAAGGATTTATTAAATATAAAAATAAATAAAAAATAACTGTAACGTGGCACCCTTTTACCCCAAAAGGGTGCGTACATTTGTAATATTTATAATATAAAAAAATTTACATTTATTGTTAATTAATTATACATATTTTTTTCACATGTACATATATTGCATTTTAAAGTAGATATTAGAGTATTTCTCCTGCTTTGCGAGGGTTTTTTTTTTTTTTCAAAGATTTATGTTTTTTATTTGAATTAATAATAAAAAGATTAAATAAAAATATTATAAATAAAATTAATAATAACAAATCAAAGATAATTATTTTAATTATTAAGTTCTATAATTTTTTATTAGTGTATTATTTTGAGAATAAATTTTTTATTTAAATAAATTTTATTTTCAAAAATTATTTATTTTTGGTATATCTTAATATAGGCTAATATTGATAAAAATTAAATATAATGAAAACAAATATTCATAATTATATTGAGTTTTTATTAGATTAAGGGGTAAAATGATTATTTTTGTAATATTAAAAAAATGGTTGTTTTATAAATTTGGATAATTGTATCCTTCTAATTCTTTTGGGATACTTTTAGTTTATAGTAATATAGATTTTTTATTTAAATAAAATATATTTTTCAACAAAGATTTAGTTTTTGATATATCTTAATATATGCTAATATTAATATAATGATATATTTGTTAATTATAAAAATTAAATATAATGAAACTAATTATTTATGATTATATTAATTTTTATTTAAATTTAGGGGTAAAATGATCAATTTAAAATATTAAAAAATATCATCGATAAAATAATTATTTCATAAATTTAAATATCTTTCTCCTTCCGATCTTTAAGGATACTTCTAATCCATGATAAATAGATTATAGTGTTTAAAAAAAAGAACAAAGTAGATATGACATTGGACGTGATTTTGCACCGTTAAAGTTGAGGTTAAAAATATAATTGAAATTTTTGTATTAATTTTATTTTATATATTGTCATTTCCTTCCGTTTAATTATTTGTGATTGTAGCTTCAATGGATAAATATTTCTATTAAATCACCTCATTTTGTAATTCCCCGAAAAGGGTAAAAAATGGTAAACAAGAAGGGAGGAGAATCTCTCACTTCAAAGTGCATAGATCTGCAATACTGCAAAATCCTCTCAAAATAAAACCCTAAAAATTGGTTTGTATTTGTGGAGATATCAGCTATGGGTTGTTCTAAAGAGCGCGAGAATTTCGTCTACGGGGCAAAGCTCGCTGAACAGGCTGAACGATACGATGGTAACAACCCTTCGTTTTTCTTCTTTTTTGAATTCTTATCTACATTTCGCTCTTATTTTCTACTTGTTTCGAAGTTCAATTTCGTTTTCCTATTCCTGCTCTGATTAAAATAAATAAATAAATGCTGAATTTGATGTTGTTTTTAAAGTCCACTAGATTTACTTACAATTGAGTAAATTTATCGACCGCTTTTGTATTTAAAAGTTGAGGGAAGAGTTAATTTTGGTCCTTTGATTTTTTTTTGAATGGTTTTTTGTTCTGACTCGATTTTGGGCCAATGGAATTACTTGTGTTAAAGGCTAGAGCTAGTGGAGTGAAATTGTTCATTTTAGAGAATTAAAATCCAAATTTAGGTACCCAAATCGAACCCAAAGTTATTTTGCTAAATTTTCTCAGTGTAGTGTACTTTGTTTGGAATTAATATTGATGTTTTAACATTTATCATCTGTATTTTAGTTTGGCATTTCTTGTCTTGTTCATCATTGCTTTGCAATGGAAACCCTTAAGGCCTCTCTCTCTCTAAAAAGTTGATTTTTGACAGAGATGGTGGAGGCAATGAAGAATGTGGCAAAGCTTGATGTGGAATTGACAGTGGAAGAGCGGAACTTGCTCTCCGTTGGGTACAAGAATGTGATTGGTGCTCGGAGAGCTTCATGGAGGATTCTTTCCTCTATAGAACAAAAGGAAGAAGCTAAAGGACATGAGGTAAATGCAAAGCGGATCAAGGAGTATAGGAACAAGGTTGAATCTGAGCTTTCAAGCATCTGTAATGATATAATGACTTTGATTGATGAACACCTCATCCCCTCTGCATCTGCTGGTGAATCAACTGTCTTCTTCTATAAGATGTATGATGTTATATTCAAACATCACTCTTGACTGCTTGGAAGTAAACATACTTTAGTTTTTATTGATTTCCTTATTATTATTACTCGTTATCCTTGGGGTTTGCAGGAAAGGAGATTACTATCGGTATCTTGCTGAATTCAAAGCTGGTAATGAGAAAAAAGAGGCTGCTGATCATTCTATGAAGGCATATGAGGTATCTAATAAGTTGTTTATTTTAAAACTAATTTTTAGCAACCAATTTTACTTATGAAGCACAAATAATGACCATGGTCTTGTATTTACTTTGTTTTGTTCTCCAAGTTGTATAAGAAACTTTCCAGAATCTTTCTTTAATTTGGAAACCTTCATGACCATAAGATCACTATGTTTTTTGTACTTGCTTAAAATTTGGATATCATGTATGTTTGACATGTTATCCTTCACAATGTTGATCTGAAACCTTTGATGTCCTATTTTGCCTATGAGCCTCTGCTTTAGTGGTAAGGGTGGGGCACTGTCTCTATGGATGTTTTGTATTATATAGTAGCAAAATTTAGAAAAAAAATTAATGGTTTTGGCCATTTGTTGTGATGCAGCTTAAACTTGAATGGATGGTATTCCTATTTATGTGCCCTTGGAAACTGAGAATTGTTAACACTTAAAGAAAATTTGTGCTTTCTTTTAATTTCTTGAGAACCATTAGCATGTGAATTTCTGGGAGTTGCACTTGCTTAAGATTGGTTATTTCTTTCTCATCATGTCCTTACCTTGCCAGTTGAGATATGGCTTTGGTTATGGAAGGTCTTATTTTGTTTATTGATATTGGCATTGTTTGGATTAAGGGAAGGGAAAAGGAAGAGAAGAGTGGGTGATTGACACCTCCTCACTAGCTTTATGACATTTTATTGCAGAGGAAAGAGTTTTTCATTTTTGTTTGTTATTATTTTCTCCAGGTAATAGATTCATACATACATATATATATATATATATATATATGTATATGTTTCTCCTTTGGTTGTTGTTATTCACTTACTTTCATGTGCAAAATGGATGGCTACGCACAGTGTCCCTTTTTTATGTACTGAGGATGCGCTGACCCATCTGCTGCATATGTCACTCCCTTCCCTTTCCATGGCTTTTAATATACTTCAGAAGGCTACTGAACTGTGCATTTTATTTGCTAATTGAAATTTTTAGTAGAATAAATATGAATGTGTGGTATATAAGATGGAATTTAATCAATTTGAGGGGCCAACCAAAGTATGAAGTTTATTTTATTTATTTTGGTAGGATAAGTGGGAGTGTCTAGTGATAGATTGAATTTAATTTGTCTTCTTCAGTTGTAAAATGTTAATGTATTAAATGCTGGATCATAAGGTCTGAAATTCTTTTTTTTTTTACTTTTCTACAGACAGCTACCACTACTGCAGAGGCTGAGTTGCCTCCTACACATCCCATCCGATTGGGTTTAGCCTTGAATTTCTCAGTCTTCTATTATGAGATTATGAATTCACCTGAGAGGTTTGTTGGGGTTTACATAGGGGGTATCTCATATAGAATCTTGTTCTTTATCTTCTTTGATATGAAATGATTTTTCTTTCTTTTTTCTATTTTTTGCTATCAGGGCCTGTCACCTTGCCAAGCAAGCTTTTGATGAAGCTATTGCAGAGCTTGATACCCTCAATGAGGAGTCTTACAAAGACAGCACCTTAATCATGCAGCTTCTTAGGGACAACCTCACCCTTTGGACTTCTGACATCCCAGAGGATGGAGGTGATTATCATAATTATTTCTGGACTTATTAATGCTGTTAAAAAGTGAAATTAAAAAACTTACTTTCCTTGCAAGTGATGAATTAGTTAGTTGTTGGTTCAGTTTATTATTTTCCAGCTAAAAGTTCTTGTAGTGGATGTTTGCCCCACCTTATGGCTAGTACCCACAATGGATTAGTTAGGTGGCCCCATGTTACAGGCTGTCTAGGCAATTGATATCTCTTTCCATTGCACTTGTAAACGTGCTGGGATAGAGTGAGCAATACTGCTGAAACAGGTTTTTAGTTGCACCATTGAAACTGGAGTCTTTCAGGTAAAAAAAAAAAGAGTCTTGTACATCAATAGTAATTTTTTGATTAAAAGGTTGCATTAGAAAGCACTTTTTTTTTACCTTTATGATGACAATGTTTTGACAAGAAATTGTTTGTGGGTACATTCACATGATTTGCTTTAGTTGTTGATGATAACCTTCATTATGTTTTCTGACAATGCTTTCACTGATATTAATTTCTTTATTAGCTTGATTTCTTTTCTTTTTAGATCCATTGAATTTGTTAAATGGCCTAACTAGGATGAAATATTCGCAAAATTTTTCAATTGAGGGTAGAGGTTTATATGGTTCTGGTACATTGGCCTATTAATTTCTAATGAGGAACTGGGACTCAGGTCACGAGGAAGAAAACTGATCAATTACTCAGTTTTTTTTCAGTTTAGTTTCTCGGGTCTTCCAATTCACAGGCCATTGCTTTCAATCCTACACCAACCAATAAAATTTAAGAGCTTATACTTGAAACACCAGATTCACTACACTTTCTTAAAAAATTAAAATGAAATTTATAATATTTACTTCAAACAACAACCAAAATTTAAGCTCTTATAATTGAGATCTTAAATATTAGATTTGATCTCACATCTGGTAGAAATAGAGAAGATAAAAGAAAATTTGTCTTCGATTGTTGAGTCGATATGCAATAGATGATTGAGTTAAAGGAGGTCTGGCAAGAAAAAAAAAAAGAAGCCATGACTAACATTTGGATGGTGAGAAAAAACTGAAATGTTATAGGAAATTGCACAGAAGAAAGGAGACAGAATAAGAGGAAAAAAGACTTTGATTAGTCTCTTTGCTTGGTTGGGAAAATGGACAAAAGGAAAGAAGTTTTAATCCAATGGTTAAGTTCAAAGTTGGAAACTGGTTATGGACCCTAACTGTTGGATTAAAAATTTTTTCATTCTTTTTCCTTTCCATCCTTTCTACCAAGCAACACAAGAGAGGTCTTGTAATGAAAAAAGTTTCTTTCCCTCATAAATTAGGAAAGTATCTCACATTAGGCACTAACTTGACTAAGTCAAATGCAATTTTAATCATTTGGAACAAGCTTGGCTGTATTTCCAGTCCCATGTTTGTCTGAAAAGGAACATAGAAAAACATTTAGCTTTGTTATCGGTGGATGAAATCAATGTCAGTGCTCTAATTAAGTCTATTTCCACAAGTGTCTTCACGTATGCATTCATCTAGAAACATTGATAGGATCAAACATTAAGTTAGCTTCCTTACAGACTCCTATGCTAAAAATAATGTAGCAGTGTTCTCCATTTGGAGGCATAGATGCAGAAATCTTCGATTATGAATTATGGTTGCAGTTTTTTAGTTTCATCAATAATGGCAATCTAATCAGATATATTATGTGAATCACATCTTATTGTTTTCATTTCCTCACTGCTATCATCCTTTTAATCTTTTTCTTTACTCTGCTTGCTGCAACAGATGATGCCCAAAGGGTCAATGGCACTACCAGAGTTGGTGGGGCAGATGAGGCTGAGGTATACTTAATTGTCTTTAATTTAGGTACTTTTTCAATTGTCATATCCTAACACATTGTAATGGTATATTGGTATGCCTTTGTTTTACCCTACAGTGAAACAACACCGTGGTTGACATGCGATCGTGGGGACTTTTGTCTTGTGACTTCATGTGTTTGGGCTAATTGGACTGTTATCTCAGCCATGGTTGGATTAAATACATAACATCGATTATTTCACTGTTTTTCATTCTCCATCTTGATGCTCTGTGTTGTGGTGTGGTTTATTATAGCATGATGTCTAAACGTGGTTGGTTTAATTTCTAGTCTACAAGCTTTTCCTTAAAACTAGGGTGGATGGTGGCACCAGGATTGCTTTGATTGCCTTTCTTTCTTCCTCTTTTTTTTTTAATCTTTTTTTATTATCTTTTTTGGTGTAAATGGTACAAAACAGATGGAGAGAATCAGCTGTTTGGTTTTCCTCATTACCTTAAAGTACATTCGGGTTTATGGTTCCTTGATTGCCAATGCTAGTATAAATTTCTCCTTTTTTTTTAATGCTGTGGAGAATATGTTGTATCCTTTGATGAGGAATTGAACCGTTAGAAAAATATACTTTTAAACGATGGATTGAAATTTAACTATTTTTGCTCATTAACCCTTAGCATACATGGAAGTTAGTAATCGCACTGAGAAATTGGTGCCGGAAGAATGAGTGTGAATAAATTCACTTACAAGTAGTTTAAAGCTTATTAGAAATCCATCTTGAAAATGCCATCGGTCCCCACTCAGCTATTTGCTCTATGATTTCTTAAGTGAAAACATTTTTAAGTTGAGGATAGTATTTTAGGGTGAAATAAACAACCCTTCCGAGCAAAAATAAGAAAGGAAACAAACCACCTGTTTGAAAACTCACTTCACTGATGGGGTTAGTCAACAGTTAATTTTATTTGGCAACGATGCCATGTTATTTTAATTTCCCTTTTTTTTTATGTTTTAATTTTTAATTTAACAATTAAAATTCAGAATTTTGATTTGGCAAAAAATACCTAAATCAGCCCTTTGCTAGGAAACCTAAGAAACTGATTTAATTTAGGGGAATTAAAAAACCTAAATTTCTTTTTTTCCCCAAAAAAAAAAAAAACTAAATTTCTAATAATAAAAGGAAAAAACGTAAATTCTGTAAAAATGAAAAAGAATCTAAACACAAGCCCCTTCTTCTCCTACAAAGAACTCAAAAACCTTTCTTACGCTTCAATGGAAACTCAATCTTTTTCTTTAACTACTAGAAAATGTGCTTCAAATGTACCAAAAAAAAAAAAAAGAAAAAGAAAAGAAAAGAGTTGGTAATAGTTAGAGAGTTTTTTTTTTTTTTTTTTCAGAGACAAAGGGGAAAAAAAAAATCCCTAACCATTACTCAAATCTTTGAATCTCCATGGATGGAGCACAATCAACTTCATATAGGATTTGAGTTAGAATCAAATGGTAGCATAGCATAGTTAGAGTTGGAGAAAGTTAACAACATTGATAATAAAAAAGCTTCGAAAAAAATAAACAAAATATGAAGCAATAGGCCTTAACGTAACTCAACAAAATTAATTGATTTTTACAGATTATCTTTGTTATTATAAATTTATTTTTATTTTTTAAATTCCATTGTTAATTGAAATCTTATATCTTATATAAATATATAAAAGTTAAAGCTTCTAACATAAAAAAGAAATAATCTGATGTGGATGATTTATATTTTCGACATGTGAACAATCTAAAAAAATTGATATGTATTCAAAATTAATTATGCATTTAAAATTAAATTTAATGGTAAAATAAATTTAATTTAAATATTTTATTTCCATTATTATAAAACACATTCAATGATTCTTATTAACATTTATTTTTAAATAATTAATTGAATAAAATAAATTAAGAATCAAATCAAGAGTAATAGTATTTTAAATTGAGAGTAATTTATACTTGATAATTAGAATAGTAAAGTATAATATGTATTTAATACGCTTGAGAGAAATGATAAAAAGAGATTTTGAAATTAATGTAATAATGATAATAAAACTAAAATTTTATTAAATGATAGTTTTTATATATTCCGTAAATTACTCTTCGTTACTTTCATTTTTAGTTTTTAGTTAACTTATTATAATAAATATTAAATACCTTAAACACCTTATTAGTATTATATTTTATCTTATATAAATATATAAAAATCAAAACCTTCGACAAAAAAGAAAATTATTTACCATGAATATTCTATTTTTTATATGTGTACTATCATGAATAAATGCTTAATTTGATTTGATTAATTTGTAATATAAAAAATTAATTTATTTAATTTAGATTATTATATTTATTCTCTTTTAAATATTCATTACTATTACCTTATATGAATAAGTTTCAATTCAATTTGTAATCAAAGTTATTTTTTCTTTACTTTAAATCACTTTCAATTTTAATTATTCACAACAACTTTAACATTATAAATATAAATATGTTTTTGTCCAATAGAGATAATAGAATTGGACGTTTGTTCCATAATTCTATTATGTTCCATTCTCTCTTTTCTTTTTTATTTTTTATTTGTTCCATTGATCTGTTTCTTTTTCTTCCGTTTGTTTTATTCCTCTTTATTTCAAAGTGTGTATTTTTTTTTATTTTTTTAAAATTAAAATTGTTTTTTAAAAAAAAAAAAAAAACTAATTTAGTTTTAGTATTTGGAACAATATTAGTATAATAAACAAAATTATGATATGTCTTAGAAATTAATCTAAACATTTCATAAACAATATAAAATGGCTTGTTTTATTTTATCTTTGTATTTAATTTTTAATTTATATTTTAATGAAGTAATTTAAAATTTTTATGTGGAAATGTATAGTCGTATGCTATGTGATTAATAACGACAATAAAGTTTTATCAGCTTTTCTAATTGGTAACAAGTTGTTACTAGAAACACATCTAATCTCAAATACCATAGTAAATGATTACTGTCATGAAGAAAATAGGATATGATACGAAAGGAATGTCCAAACAAATATGGATGGCTTACACTAATTAGTCTTGTGTGGGGTTAACAAATTTTAAATTTCAATTATTCCAATACCAAATAAAATTCAATTATCTTATACATATAAATGAAAACAAAATTTTAAATTCATTATCTAAATTATAAGTGTATTGATTTTTTAAATATTATTATATGTAATGAGAATTATATTAATTAATTTGCTTGGTCATTTCTTTTAAAATTTCAAAATGAAATTGAAGTTCACATTAATAGTACAATCTCCATCAATTACCTCTGATTAAATTAATTAGTGTCTTTTAAGTTTGAAAAATGTGTTAGAAATGTGTTGGTATTTATTGGAGTAAATTGAGCAATAGAGATAATAAATTATTGCATTGCTAGAGATTTGTTACTTATCCATCAATAGGCCTTGATAGTTTGGAAAAATGAATCCAATAATAAGAAATTATGTTAATAAGCACAAAGTTGTTAAGAATAAATTTATTTTTTAAAAATAAAAATAAAAATAAAGTTTTTAGGTAGTGTTAGTATTGATCAAATAGAGTGTTATTGACAAAGTAAAATTAAATGAGAATTTAAATCTCTTAAAAAATTAAAAGTTAAAAATTAATTTATTTGAATGATTTATACAATAAATATAATATTACAATCATTTCTTTATAAAATAACCAATGTTTTTGTTTTTTATAAATAAGTTACAATTCAAGTTGTAATTAAAATTTAATTTTTCATTACTGTTTACCTTAAATTGTTTAAAATTCGATTTCATTCTTAACTTTTAACATTTAACGTTGACATTACATAAAAATAAGAGTTTGTTTTGATGCATTACCATTTAATAATTAGTATTAAAAAAATTTAAATTTAAATTATTATCAAAAGATCAAATTTTAATTATATATATTATCTTTATAATATTATAATACTACATTAAATGAAAGTTTCTTTTCTACCTCATGAAAAAGAATTTGTGCTACTTTCAATTAATTAATTCATATGAAAAACATATCTATAAGTATAAATAAAAGCTATCCCCTTCACCAATTTGACGGACAGATAATTATAGTAAATAAAAAAATTGAAAGGATAATTTTGGAAAGGGATTTTTCTGTAAGCTTCTCTGAGCTTTAAGCAATAAGCTTATTTGGGTTGGAGAAAAAAAGCTTCATAAGAAAATCGAAAAAATTGAAAGAGAGAAATGGGGAGGAGAAAAAAAAAGGAAAATAGAAGAAGGAAACTCGTTTTTTTTGCTTTCCATTCTGATGGCTCCTTTCTGGGTTTCTTCAAAAATGCTGTCTTTAAGGTCCAAAATGGTATCTACTATTTCTCTCTTGCGAGGAAGAGGCTAATGAGAGACTTCAAGAGGCTACAGCAGGATCCTCCGTTTTTGGCTGAATAATCCAAGCTCTTACATGCAGCCGTTAGAGTGGCATCCTCAGCTACAAGTCCAGGTCCAAATCCTGGATGCAGAGACCGTAACAATGTGAAGATCATTGGCACAATGCATTAGTATCTAATCTGATGCTAGTATTATCCAGGCATGCTCTAACTTTTTTTCCTTTTCTATTTTAGGTTTATTCAGTGAAGCTTCATATCAAATCCTTCAAGGTTCCAGAGCTCTTTGTTGAGATTCCTATAACTGCAACTATTGGTTCACTGAATTAATGCAGTATTGCCTTCTTTTCTGTTGTTTTAATAGCGTGCTTCCCTTCTTTGGCCAAAAAAAAAAAAAATAGCATGCTTCCCTTCTATTCTAACTTTTATGTACGAAGTTTTATACCATTGGAGAAGAAAAGTGAACTTAATTTATGAACTATGATTCTTTGGACAGGAGCCTAACCTCCTACCATGATTCCTGTCATTTGATAAATGCTTCTTCTTATCAGACAGATTGTGCTTTGGTCTCTTTGGTATTTTAAGAAATAATGTATAGCCTAATCGGAAATGAACGAGCCTCTTTTTCTTTATTTTCATGGATATGAGTTCAAGCATATTGGTTCTGTGTCTGCACATTGGTGATAATTAATGTCTAATGGTTTTTATAGAGGACAATCATGGAGGCAATGGCTACCATACTGGGAGATGAACATTATGTATTATATGTTACTCTATAACTATTTTTGGCAGGGCACATGTTCAATTACAAAATATTTTCATGGCCAATCTACATCCTTGTTTTCTTCAATGCAATTGCCATATAACCTCAACATTGAGACAACACTTTTGTCACCCCCTGGTCTTTTTTTCTTTGTTGATTGTTTTCTGATCTTGCTTATGATTGTAATACATTTGCATCGTCTAATTGGGGCTTGGTGTTCATTCAGGTAGTGAAAGCTACTTAGAGGTGAATTCACCTAAACCAAAAATTCATTTTCCTGGTGAGAAAAGCTAGATTGAGGATACCATGCCTGATTTGGATTGGTAAAAATAGAAAGTGAATGTCTTGAAAGATGAGGTTTTTAGTTTTTAGAGATTCTTTTCTAAATAA